CCATACTCCCCGCTCACTGCCCAGCAGGACTTGCCACACACTGCCCACCCCGCCACCTGTACTGGGCCTGGCCCTTGGCCCCCCCACCTTGGTGGTCTCGGATCCCTGGCTGCTCTGGCTCCATTCACGACCACCCCATTAACCCGGCCCACCTTGTACCCCATGTGCACTGTAGCCAGTGCCACCCCTCAAGGCTGCAGGACCAGGGCTCAGCTTGACCCCCTGGGCGTCGGGTCCTAGAGCCCTCTGAGGGCACCAGGAGGGTCTGAGAGGACAGATGTGCAGGCAGGCCTGCAAGCTGCTGGCGACAAGGGGTCTCCAAGCTGCTGGCAGAAATGGGGGTTGGGTGCAGAGCTTCTGGGGCACAGACTGAGTCACCATGACCGAATAGGGAGCTCGCCTGTCCCCATCTCCCTCCTCCCACGGGGACATGGGGATCTCAGGCGGCAGAGCATCCCCCTTTGCACGCTTGGCTGCAGGGAGGGCTGTCTGTTCCAGGAAGCCAGTCTCCTGTCCCCGAGCAAGGGCAGCCTGGGAGAGGTCCCGAACTAATGGGGCTGCTGTCCTCTGAAGGAAAGCTTGAGCCACCCACTGCTGAGACCATGCGCCCTTTCACCTTCCCTAGTGCCTCTGGCATGTGGAGCCACGGGCAGCAAGGACCCCTGACTCCGAGACGCACGGTCACCTTTATCCCAGCGTGTCAGTGAGCCAGGACGATGGCTTGCCCTGCCCCATCCTCCACCTTCTCCCAGCAACCGCCCTCCCGCCCCCCCTCAGACAGGGACGCTCCAGCTGGATCTGCACCCGCCACACCTGCAGCTCTCAGCCCTGGAGTGGATCTCTGGGGCTGCTCTGCTTGGGGCCCTGTCTCCAGCCTCGGGGGATGGAGGCAGCTTGCCCTACCTGGGCCTCTCAACAGGACCACACCTGCCCCCAGGAAGCACAGAGACCACACTGTGGGGCCAGGAGTCAGACACTTCTCGGCCCTGACCCCATGACTTGCAGCAGACACCTGGCATCACTTAGCCTGTGTGCTGTCTTGTGGGCGTGGGGTGGGGAGGGGGCCACAGGGATACCACTCTCATTGCAGGGAGGTCCGATGTGATATAACCAATTAAATAAGTCAGGCTCCTAATGCTGCCACCACCTGCCCCGGCAGACCTCCACCGGCCGCAGGCTCTACCAAAGGAGCCATGAAATGGGAATGGACTCCCATTCTTTCATGGCCCACACACTTGTTTCAGACGACACCCCCAACCCAAGACTCGGGGACCAACAGGGAGCTCCAGGCCACGCTATGAATTCTGCACTAAGGGATTTCACGGTGAAGTGGGCTGAGATGGCGCCCTGGCGTGGCAGAGAGACCACCTGGTGACTGAGGAGTGGGTGCAGGTGGTAGGGGATATGGGGGGAGGGGGACAGAGGGGCTGTGTGACCAAGCAAAGGCAGCCAAGTGGTCACGGTGGCACCCGCTTGCGTGGGTGCTGGGAGTTTGGGGAACCGCACAGATTCCCCAAGGTGCTGGGTGGGTGGCGGCCATGATTCCAGAAGAAAATGTCGGGAGATGAGCGCCACTTCCCGGTCCCAGACCACCCGGCTGGCCTTTCTCCCACCTCCTGGCATTCCGGGTGGGACGGGCGGTCTCATGGGTTCCGGATGGCCTGGTGGTTCTTGGGCACAGCCATGTATCTCATCTTCCTGAGGACGGGGGGCCTGCCTAGCATGTGCTCGTCCCACATGTACTCGGGGGACAGCACCTTGGCGGGCTTGTGGTATAGCAGGTACCTGTTCAGGTGGCTCTCGTCCTGCCACACGGCCTCAATGCCATGGGCGAGGTCCACCATCATTGCCTGGTGACAGGCCTTGGTGAGCCTGTGCACTTCCGACACCGAGCCCCCAAAAAAGCTTCCGGTGTAGTAGAAGTCCCCCTCGTCGGGGGGTATGTAGGCCTGGGAGGCAGAGCGGCGTTCGTAGGTGAAGGCCTGGCGGCCAGCCGTGTAGAAGCCCGGGTGCAGCGTGCCAAACAGCGGGGACAGGACTTCGGCGCCCACCCGGTCGCTAAACTTCATGTCCACGTCCGCACACACCAGGTAGTCCACCTCTTGCAGGAAGCGCCGCTCCGCGAAGCTGCTGATCACCTCCATGCGGCGCAAGGACACGTCCTGCCAGCGGCGGTAGCTCCGGACCTGGAGGACCACAACCCGGCGGCCCCGGCCAAGGGGGACGTCAGGGACGTCGGCTGGCCGGTTTGTGAAGACGTAGTAGTTGACCTGGTGTCCCACCATGAAGAACTGCTCAGCCGTTTCCAGGAACAGCTTCAGGAAGACCACATACCTGGGACCAAGGAAGAAAGCGGGGGGGCAGTCAGCAGCGCCCGAGCTACTGGACTCATCACGGACGGTGGGCTGGCTGACCTGGGCCTCGTCGGCAGGCGCATTCAGATGTCCTCCACGCTGGACACACACTGGCAGGCATTTGCTTTATTCATGAAGTTTGCCAAAGTCCACAAGATAACACCCAGGGTTATTCCACAGCTTTCTGGCGGGGTGCGGGGGGAGCCATCCCAGAACCTGCAGTGGTCTTCCAGCTCCTCCGAGGTCTGCTCTGACCTCTGACCTGTTCTCTCCACCCCTCTGTTCTGGGAGGCCAACTCCCCGACAGTCTGGGCACACACTACACCTGCTTCGGGGTCTTTGCACCTTCTGTCCCCTTTGCCTGCATGCTGCTCCCTGCAGTGCCCAGCCCTACCGTGGCCAGGGCGCTGCTCACAATGGACCCAGAAAGAGAGCGCTCCGCCTGGGGCAGCAGGTGCTCTAGAGCTCCCTCTGCAGGTGTGTAGACAGCAAACAGACACACGCTGCAATCCGTCTGAACACAGGAGCATGCTGCCCAGTGATCAGCCCTCCTTCCACCACAAGCCCCGCGGGGAGTGTCTGTCTGTGTGTCCTTGCTCCTGAGTCGACTACACCTGCCCAGAGCAGGGCCTTCCGGTTGGCGGCCCTCTCCTCCGCGTGTGACACACCACAGGTGCTCAGTGAACAGGTTCCGAGCGACGTCAACTGTGGCCTTCCTTTGGGGGGCCTCCCTTCCCCCAGACCCCTTCTGGGCATGTGTCTATTCATCCTCCTGTACCAGCACCCCAGTGTGCCCGTTTCTATGCATCTCATCACCCATCCCTGGGGCGCACGGAGCTCCCCAGCAGTTCCTGACACCGCCGCTGGAATGGGAAGTGCCACGGGATTCTGCTGGTGGTTTTCTTCCTGAGAGGCCTAGGAGGAGAATCAAGGAGCCCTGGTGGCACAGTGACTGTGCAATGCTAACCTCAAGGTCAGTGGTTCAAAACCCCCAGCCGCTCCGTGGGAGAAGGATGAGGCTGTCTCCCCTGCACAGATTTAAAGACCCAGTAACCCACAAGGGCAGTGGTGCCCAGTCTCATAGGGTCACAGCAAGTTGGACTGGACACAATGGCGTGGGAAAAAATCAGAGAGCGCCATCGATTTGGAAAAGGGCCAGGCATTTGCTGCTGCTCCTTTGCAACTAAACACACAGTGAGAGTGGAACTCAGCAAGAGCAGGCCGGGAGGGTCTGGGGAAGGGACAGGCCTGGAGGGCTGGGAGGGCAGGGCCACAGAGCAGGCCTGGGGGTCTTTGTGGGGAGGGAGGTGTCGGGTCACTCATTCTCCCTCTCATTGCCATCCAGTGGATCCCGGCTCACAGACTGCAGCTCTTTGCCAGACTGGAAGCCTTGTCTTTCTCCCGAGGAGCCGCTGTGGGTTCCCACTGCTGCCCTTTGGACGCTCAGCCCAGCACTCAACCCGCTGTACCGGTGGGGCTTGGATACGGGGTTTCATGTGGGCAGTCCCTGCGTGGCCAGAGTGGTGAATGCCCTCAACTGCTAACTGGTGGGTGCAGGTTTGAATCCAGACGAAGACCCAAACAGCCAGGCCTTCCAGGGTGGGGGTGGGCAACACACCAGCATGGGGAAGAAAGCGCTAGCTGGGCACACTCGCCCCTGTGGGTGGCGGGGGCCTGCCGCCCTGGTGGCACAGTCACAGAGCACCTCTTGGTGGCTATGCTTAGAGGGTGCCCTCGGCCGGGGACCACGACGTAGACGTTGGGTGCGCATCTCTGCGGAGGGCGGCCCAGCGCCTGAGTGGCTCTGGAGGAGCTGGAATTGGGGACAGGTGGGTGGGAGGGCGCTGCCCGGGACCTAGAGACACAGCCCACTGCCTTCGCGGGGAGCCGCACACCTGGGCCAGGAAGGAGCGTCACCCAGGAGCCCGTCCACGGACTTACTTCTTGATGGCGAACACTGTCAGCCCAATGGTGGTGTTTCTGAACTGCGCGTCCAGGATGTCGGGGTCAAAGGTCCCCTCCCAGACGATGGGCGCAAGCCAGGAGGTGGTGACCAGCACGTCCGTCCGCCTGCGTGTGACCAGAGGACACTGGGAAGTAGCCACAGGGACAGGGCTGGGCCAAAGGACTGTGGTCAGGGGTCAGCAGGGCATGGACACAGGATTCCGGCCTTGGCTTAGTGCTCTTTCTTTGGTGAGCTCAGAGCCTGAGGCCCCACAGAGTTGGTGGCCACAACCCCCGAGGGATGCTGGGCCCCAACTTGCCCCACGCCTGCTGCTGCTGGACACTGGGCTGCTCTCTCCACCTCTCGCAGCCTCAGTTTACCCACCTGTTGGGCACTCAGCACCCTGCCCACATGGAGGCTGGAGTCAGGGGGTCGGGGGGCTCCTCAGGGCTCTGCTGACTCCTCCTCTGAGCGCCAAAGCATCAGTGCCCCCCATGGGATTGTGACCCCCCATCGTCCTGTGCCCCCCATGGGACTGTGAACCCCATGGGACTATGAGCCCGCGCATGGGACTGTGAACCCCATGGGACTGTGAGCCCTCGCATGGGATTGTGACCCCCATCAACAGACAAGCTCACTGCCCAGAGTGGACGTTGATTCACAGCAACCCTACAGGACAGGGCAGGCGTACGTAGGAAGCCTGGTCTTTCTCTCACGCACTGCTGGGGTTTGGAAAGGCAGCTTGTGGTTAGCAGCCCAGTGTGTAACCACGAGGCCCCAGGTTTCAAACACTGCACCGTGGAAGGGCCCCACGCAGCACCCTGCCCCACTCCCTGTGTCCTACCACCCTGTCGCAGAGCATCGTGCAGGGCCTGCATCATGGTACAGCCAGTGCAGGCCGGCGCTCCGGTCTCAGAGGCTGGCCCTGTCTGGGATGTGCCTGAGGTTGGCCAAGCTCATGGAGCGAGCCCTCCTGCCTCTGTCTGCGGCCCAGAGAGAAAGGCCCAGGGGCAAGCAGGTCCCGGGAGGCAGGGAGCGAGGCAGACAGGGACCCACCACCAAGGGGCAGACCACGCTACTCACGCAGGCTTCAGCGGGTGGGCCGTGGGGTAGATCATCCTGCCAAGAAAGGGACCGTGAGCAGGCCTGTGGCCCCACCCTGGCTTTCTCTGCCCTGACCTGCTCCCCTCTCGGGGGTCACACCCACCCACCCTGCAGAGCACCCTGGGGAGAAGCTGCGGGGCTGAGCCAAGCCCAGATGGCTCCCACCTCCCTGCTAAGGGCATGGACCCACCCAGCCCTCTCCCTCCTGGGCCCTGATCTTATTCAGGCTGTGGGAACCCCGGGGTGGTCTCCACAGACTGGACAATGTCCCCAGGCCACCTCACTGCCACCTCCCCTCCAGCCAGCGTCTCTGGTCCTCCCGCCCTCCTGCACGTGACCTGGGGGAAGAAGAGCAGAAGAGGCATCTGCCCCCTGGCAGCAGGTGACCCAGGAGTTCTCTGATCCCCGACCCTGCCCCTTGCATCTTCCCACCTGCAGCCCAGGGCTGGGGGCATCTTGATTTGCTGGGAAACCTGCACAGAGGCCCCAAAGGCGCGGTCCCCAGTACCTGGGCACCGCGGGGACTCTGCAGACATCCGGGCGGCAGTCACCGTCCCTGAGGGAGGACGCAGGATCAGAGCCACAGCCCAGGGTTCCCACGCTCAAGGGCAGCCACACGGCCACCCTCTGGTCCCGGTGAGCAGACCGAGGAGGGGCCTGCAGCGAACTGGACCATGTCCCCCAAAGACCTGCCGAAGTCCTAGGCCTGCCCAGTGATGACGGCCTTGTTTGGGGAAAGGGTCGTTTCTTTGCATGTGGATGGGGACACCGCAGAGCAGGTGGCATTTTATAAGCAAGGCATACAGAGGGGTGCACAGTCACGAGGCATGGGGGGAGGGCGTGCCGCTTGGCAGCCAGATGCAAACCAAGGCCCCACAGACCCCACCAGCCACTCTCTCAGAACCAGGGTGGGAGTGGGCTCTCGTGGCCCCTGGTAGTGCTCTGGTTGGGCGCTCCCCATAGAGGGCTCAGTTGAGTTCATAGACTAAATCTTTCACCCGCTGGTGGGTTTGAACTGCTGACCTTGCAGTCAGCAGCCCAGTGCTTAAGGAAATTGTATGGCCGGATCAATACCAGGCCGGCTTCTAGCAGCAAGTGACC